TTCTCTTGCGTTTTCAGCTACTCTAAATTCACCAATACTCTTCTATCTACTCCATAAAAAAAGATTGGAACTTTTGGCTAAGGATTCATACATTGCACCCGTTTTTATCTAGAGCTCAGAGCCCATTCTCATGCACTTTTGAGCTCTTTTTAGTTTTTTAGGTCTTTATTCACGAAATTTTTTCGTTCTTTTGACCACTCCTCTTATATTCTCTCTCTCTTCGCTAAATTTCTTTAAGCTCCTAGATACTCCGTATACTTTCCTTGTTCAGCCCAGAATCACCGTTTTCCTGCTCTTATTTTATGATTATTCTTTCTAAGACTCTCCACGACTCACCGTGGTCATTTTCTACTTTTCTCTCTCTTGACCCTTATTCTGATTTGAATGTCGGAGTGTCGTCGGAAAACACCCTCCATCGTGTATTCTAAGGGATTCGCGTATTTGATGACTATGTAGGAGCAGGTATCCCTAGTGGTTGTTTAAGAAGACCAAAATCCCCATAAACATATATAGTTTGATTTTGAAATAAATTTTATCTTCTGTTTTTTTAAATAATTTTTTTTTTAATTTATCTATCCGCAACCGGCAAATATTTGAGGGAAACAACTTTTATTCTTTTTTGAGTGATTTTGAGCAGCACAAAACTATCTAAAATATTTTCTATCAGTCACAAACGCAGTGTTTACGGATGACAGCGGAAAAAGTAATCAATCAATCACAATAGTCAATCCCATAGTCGATTTAGATTTACGGTAGAGTGCGTCGTTTGATATTTTTCACTTAAGGCCATTAAAAAGGCCCGACCCATAACGAAATCCCCGAGAGTTCCTTCGTCACTATCAAAAGTCAGTGTCAGTTAGCCCTGGGCACGGAGCGGATATCCGGAAAAAATCTGATATCCGCCATCCGCTCCGTCCGAAACGGATATTAGATTTTCTGATCCGATCCGCTCCAATATTTTCTGGATATCCGAAATTTTTGTACATATCCGCGGATATCCGATCCGCTTCGTTATAAGTCGGATAACCGAATTTTTTTCAAGTATCCGTGATTATCCGATCCGATCCATTAAAAAATATTCTAAAACCTCAAAAGACAATAACTAATCACATTTTAGAGTACCTA